GCATTTTCGACGGGGTGGCTGGCGCTGGAGTTGCCGGGCCCTCCATCTCTTCAATCGCCGAGCTCCTTACTCGCAGCCGGAGCCCTGCATGCCCTGCATGGGTGTTCAAGCCCAACGGGCCCAACCGCGCAGCTCACCAATTTGTGATGTGTTTGTGATCGGCCCCGGCTTTTTTCCCAGGGTTGGTCAGATGACACCCTAGAAGATTCATGGCCTGTTAGAGATGCCTGTTTTTTCCTGCAACGCCCACGCACATTCCTTTGGCTTGGTTTGGGCAGAGGCCCCAGAAAGCAGTGCCCTTCCTGACTCAAAGCAGAGCATTTTGAGTCGGCAAGGTCTTGATGTCACTCCAGTGTTGGCAAGCTGACAGCTAAGACGAGCTGACCTGAACGCAGACAAATTCAAATCTGGCCCAGGTTCTGTGCGCTGAACTTCCATATTGCGCTTCTGAACGCCCTTTCGGAGTTGAGGCCACAACTTCCTTGGACGGATCGCTAATCCCAGACTCGTGTTTGCAAGGCCAGCGGCCCCTACTGTGGCAGCTGTGGAGGGCGTTACTTAGATGGCAAATTGTGATGACGGTTTGTTCTCTGCTTGGAGTTGCTTCTTCCCTGCGCATTCACTGCACATTCCCTGAGGCAATCGCCAAAAGTTTGGAGACATTGGACCAGGAACTCCTCATAAGGACACGGTACATTTGCAACTGGCTGGTCATGAGTGCTAGAAAGATTGGCAAGGAAGACTTGCACATTGCGCTTTGTGGAGCTGCCCACATGAAGCCAGGAATCCGGAGATTGCAGATGGTTGTGGTGCTGCAATAGCACTCCTCGTGCGCGTGCAGTCGGCTGCATTTATGACATGTTGGCATTGCACCTTGTGAGCACATTGCATGCCAGTGCTGTCGCTGCTACAACTGCTGCAATACGACACCGCCCCGAGGATCACTTGTTCGTAGCACTGATGGGCCAGTGTACTGCCATCCTGTGCGAGGTTGGGACCCAATCTCACTGCACCATGCTGCATGTCAATGTACTGAAGAAGGGCAAAGCTGTTTTGGGTCTCCTGGGCTTGGAATTGGACGGATGTGAAAGTGGCTGATTTCATGCAAACGGAGCTGCTGGACTGTCTTGTGCATTTGCAGCACGGGTACTGCAGGTTCGGCTTTTGCTTTTGCAGTGCGGTGAACCAAGCAATGCAGTGGAGCTCTCGCTTTGCGAGAGCAAACGAAAACACACATCTGGGTTTGCCCGCAGGTCACTGACGGCAAGAGAGTGCCGGTCACTTTGGGCAGAGGCACCTCGGCAGCCAGATGCCGCCAGTGACGCACCAGTGACGCACCTGCGAGGTGGCAAGACTGGTGCTGTCGGAGGATCTTCCGCGACTGAACCAGACGTCGCGGTCTTTGCGCAAGATCAAAGCATGGTGTTTGAGCTTTCTTGGCTTGTGGTCTGATGGTTCAATGCATGCACAGTGAAGCGCACCTGTTCGTTCCAATGTTTTGTTTTAGCCTGCTATATAAGACAGATGCAAATGCAGAAGGCGTACCGCACATCATTAGCAACCCCGGATGTCTTGTGCATGCATGAAGCGTTTGGCAGAATACAGCACCAAGGTGCAGACCATTCATTTGAGTACCGCCGAGCGGCACCCGCCGCTCGTTTGAGAGACCCTTCGGCGCTTCACGGGTGTGAATTTCAATGGGGACCGGGACCGGGAATAGCCAAATAGACACCGGGATTCATACAGCCTGATCTCTTCTGCCCCACAGTCTGAAGGTTTCTGGTGCTCTCCTCGGGAGTGGTGTCCGCGTCCATCCCTCCGATGGAGCTGATGAAGGTCTCTCACGGATACTCGCTGCAGCCGGCGGCTTATCCAGAGGCAATTTGGCAATGGAAGCTCGCACAACTGCAAGCCTGTCCAATTTGGTGAGTTGGGCGCCGTTGCCATAGTTTGCCACCCTTGGCGCTATCCAAGCGGCTCACAAAACGAGGCCCAGAGCGTTCTGTGGCGACGTGGCCTGCCGCGCCGCAGCGCAAGCGCCATGCACGGCAGTGCAGGTGGACGAGCCCCAAACCTCAGCACCGGAAAACCCCAGCGTGTCGGCTCGGTTTGCGGCAGCCTCTGCAGGTGAACTTCCTTCCAGAGCTGCCGCCAGAGGCAGGCCGTCTCTTTTGGCTCTTTTGGCTCTTGCTTTTGCTGCAGTTCTGAGTCAGGCGCCCCCACCTGCCAAGAAGCAAAAGGTGCAGACTGGCCCAGTGGCAACGCAGCTCATATTTAGTCAAAGTGCCCGACAGCTCAGAATCGAATGGCTTGAACATGCTTGAACATTGATGCCTCCATCTCCTTGTTGCCGAGCTCAGGCCACGCAGAGCATGCGTCTCAGGCACATCCTGGTCCCGTGCCTAACGATCAGATCCAAAAGCTTTGGTGTGCGTGGCACAAGCATACCACAAGCATACTGCGCACTTGTGCACTAGTTCCAAGTTCAGAAACCGACAAGAACCCCCCCAGACCCCAGACCCCACTGCTGAATGTTTAAGGTGAAATTTCACGAAGGTGCAAAGCCTGCCGAGGATCCGAAGGCACGCTGCTCAGTACACTTCATGAGAGTCACAAGGCCTTCTCACGTTTATAGCTTCTAGCGCAGGCAACCTGTAGACTGAAGGTACGGCTTTGTGGGCCAGAATGCATGGAATGTGTTTGGCCTTGCACTTCTTTGCTGAAAGCCCTGGTGAATGGCCCAGAGAATGCAGAATGATGGAAGGCGAAGTGGGCGACTCGGTCACGTGCAGATGCTGAGAAGATACTGCGGGGTGCTATTGCTGAGATCCAGGAGGATCGGCCACCTGACTTCACATGGGGCAGACCGACAGCAAACAAGTGTCCAAGTTTGTTGTTCCCTGTTGGGACTCTTTGGCTTGCTGCCCCTAGTGACAGGTGGAGGCATTGGCAAGAGTGACGCATGGAAGAAGACAGCACTCAACCATAGAAGTATTTTGCTTTGGGATTTTAGTCCTGTTCACATGGGAGCAGGCCATGGTTTGGCTATCTTGGCTTTGGCAATGAGGCTATGAGCCGTTAATTTCAGAATTGGGAAGTTCTATGAAACGCTGATCGCCCTTGCGTTGTGTCCGGACGAATGAAAGAGGTTTTTTTTTGGGATGAAGCTGCCAGACCCCGGTTCTGCCACTTGCCTCCTGAGTTTATAGTGAGAACTATATCAAAGCCCTGATATTATCTATGTTGGTAGAACCAAAAGGGTTTCGGGTGCTGCTCAAATGTGCTTGGACCAAGCGTGCAAAGACTTGTAACGTGTACTGTCCTGTGGGCATGCGAATGAGCATGCGTTGCATGCTGCGGCAGCCGCGCACCAAGCTTTGATGCCAACAACAAATGCGATTCCACGCGATGACCTGCAGCAACCAAGGAAAGTGTGGAAGAAGACGCCCAAAGATGCCGACTCCTCACTTTCTTGTGCGTGTTTTAGTGATTTTAATTGGGGACCCTTTGGCGGGCATCATTTTCCTTTGTATCCACCAACCATGTCCCTGACACAATTCATCGTGCTTGTAATGCATGGGGCAGAAGGGAGATGGTGTACATCATACAGCCTACAGGGCCTACAGAAGAGTTGCACTGCTCAAACTGCGGAAGTCTCCTCGGAAGAGGAGCCGATATTTTTTTAACCACGTTCTGCTGAAAAGATGTTGCTTTCTGGTAGTTATTCATTATTCAAGACGTGGCGAGGTAAATCCAGCCTTTGCGCTTCTTGAGGGATACTCTTTCCAAAGTGTTTCAATGTTTCGTAGATGCGAGTTGTGAGGCTGGGGCAAACAGTCACAAGGGTTCCAGCTTGGGGTTTGGAGGACGAGTGACGAGTTCGAGTGCGAATCGGCGCGGCTTCAGGTGACCGAGCTGATCAGCCTGAGCACACGGAAGTTCACGGAGCTGGCTCGGAAGCACTCGGACTGCGAGACGGCACAAAAGGCCATGAAACGCGGAAAACAAAGACGTGCTTTGCTTTTGCTCAGATTGTGGCACTTCTGATCCAAGTCGCTCTTGTTTGCACTGAGGGCGCCTTTGCTTGTGGCGACCTTGGCTGGGTGTCTCCAGAGGCCTGTGACATCACGGGCTGATGCTTCCCACTGCCCAGTGAAATTTGTGTGTTTGTGTGTCTCTGTGTGTGTGTCTCTCTCTGTGTGTGTGTGTGTTTGAAGTTTCGCGATGCAATGCAATGCTGGTGCCTCATGCGCCATGTGAGCAAGGCCCGGGCTATCATGAGCGAACACTTCAAGGAGGCAGGACCGTAGCGCTGAAAGCTTTTATTGTTTGGAGTATTTTAGATATGTGTTAGATATGTGTTAGACAGGTGTTAGATATGTGTTAGATAGGTGTTAGATATGTGTTAGATATGTTCTGGTTTTGGTGTTTTGGGGGAAGCTTGGGACATGGGCATGGATCGAATGGGTCATGAAAAAGCAATCAAAGCACATGCATGAACAGGTTTGCGATGTGCTACAGCCGGGGCAGTGGAGTGACATCGTGGCGTCTCACCAGGGTATGCATTTGGTGCAGCGAGTTGCTTAGCCACAGCAATCGTTTGCCGAGACTCCCCAACAACCACCAGCTTGGTAGCTTCCACCAGTTTCGATCCCTAAGCTACGTGCTTTGCTCACCTCTGGGCAATTCTCGTGGCGCATTTCGCTGCAGCGTGGCTGTTTCTGATATGAGTCTCACCCGCGGTTCTCATGAGATGGCTCTTCTGTCAATGCTGCAGTGTGACGACCAGTCGGCACTGATGGTTGAGGGCCGAATTGCGTTGATGACCATGAAGTCAGAGTCAGCGAGTGGCTTGAGAAGGAAACAAAGCTCGTTTGCCAGGATTCTGTTGCGAGGCACAGGTTGGAAAGGCACTTGATTTGTTTCTGGGGCCGCCGAACGAAACTGTGTGAACCAGTCTCGCGGACTTGGGGAATCGCTTGGGAATCGCTGCGGCCCAGGTGGCAGTTGGTACGAGGCTCTATGGCATCATGCCGCCAGCCAGGCAGGGCCAAGAGACCGGTGACTTGCAGAGCTTCAGTGCGGTGCCTGTTGCTTGCCTGTTGCTTGCAGGTTCCAGGTGCAGTCTGTCGGCCAGGACCCTGCTCTGAGCCTTGCATCTCAAGAGCCTCTGAGCTGAAGGCGGCATCATTCCAGGAAAGAAAGACGAGCCTTCATTGGCAGGGACCCAAGTTTCCAACATCCCGGCACTTAGTGACTTGGATTTGCATGCTTAGCAAAACCACACCAGCGTGTCCTTCAAGCACAAACGGTATCCCAACCCTGAACAGCCAGCCGAGGTGGAGCTCACCATGGAAGAAGTGCCCTTCAACCTGCGAAGATTCCAGGAGATGGAGGTGTGTGTGTGTGTGTGTGCCTGTGTGTGCGTGCGTTTTGTTGAGGAGTGTTTTGTGGTTTTCAAGGGACGCCAGAGGCAAAACCAGGAGATCGTTTTTTCTTTTTTTCTTTTTTTTTTGGGGGGCTCCCCTGTTTTTGAGACAGAGCCAGGAGTCCATTTGACTTCTTTTCTCTTGGCTTGTATCCCCCTCAGGTCGTGTCAGACGGGCTGGAGCCCCATTTGGAGGATACCCCGTCGAGTTGGCGCTGCGCAGTGTCTACTTGAGTCCACCGCAGCTCTCAGCTGTTTGGTGCTCTTGAGGACTGGATCATTTCAACAAAGGCGATGGAGCGAGAAGCAGCTTGCAGCGAACATCTGTTGTTTTTGCAGGAAATTTACACCATGGCATATTACATGGACGAGCAGCTTTTGGTAGATACTGGGTGGCCACCTCAGCTCGGCAGCTTGGCCGTTTTTCTCCGCACAGCTCGGCTGCAAGGATGATCAATTGTGTGGTGATCTCTTGCGCTTCTGCGAAAACAGCGCTAGCCCTTGCCTTTTGTCTGCGGATGCGAGACATGAGGCCGGCTTTGGACGTATCGTCACTCCTCAGGATATCAAGAGTTTTATATGCATTGGCAGGTATGTTTTCGGTTTGACCTCCAAGGACTCATGCAGTTCTTGCACAGGATCACTTTGCACAGCTCCCGATACGCCTGTCAGGAGCATTTGGATTTCTGTCGGTCCACCGATCTCTACCATGAGGATCGAGTCAAACAATTCCATCTTCAAAAGAGGGGGAAGCTTGGCCAGGTCTTCTCGTATGAAGATGTCGCATCCCTGCCAAACAACCATACCGTGGTGCAGATCCCAGATTTGGGCAGCTTGAAATGGACAGAGCAGAAAACTGCATCCCTGTCGAGGTGTACATGGACTTCAAATGCGACGGTGAGCTTAGACAGCAGATCACCTTGAGGCAGGCTGCCCAAAGAACAAAGTGCCCCCTGGTTGTTGCGCCAAGACTTCGACGTGAGCAGCCTGCAAGCTTGTCAGGATGGGCACAAACCTGATGTACAACATGGCCGCTTGCCAGGGATCACCGCGAGGGATGGGGTCTCAGCAGCAACTCAGGTTATTGGACCAGCAGTCTTTCAGAAAAAGGCCAAGGACCTGTGACATGTTCATGACTCTTTGCATGTGACAAGGTCAAACCAGGTGTGTGTAGTGTTCATGATGGCAATTGAAGCATAGCATATTTAAGTCATAATGCAGGACCAGCTCTTTGAGAAGCGAGCTCGGGAAGTTCTCTTCGACGAGTCCTCCTGGCGCGAGCGCCGCCGAATGGTTGCTGAGGTTCCATCCGCAGAGAGGGTCTGTAGTATATTCATTGGTGTGCCAAGCCATCAGGTGACCAAGACGGGCAGAAACGAAAAGCTCAAATACTCCTACCAGGCACAAAGTAATAGTTGGTCTTCGGGACGCCTTGCAAACTTTGGTGATCAGCACTTTTGCAGTCATTTATCGAGCGCATGAAGAAGTTTATCACAGCGCCTCGTTTGCACAGGGTGTTGCTTTTTCCGTGTGGGCTGGAGCTGCTGTATTTGTCAAAGACACCGCGGCCACTCACCTGGGACCAGCTTCAGGTCAAGCACATCAGCAGTTTTGACGGCTTTGTTGCTATGTACACCAGCCTGTACAGCAACGACTCTCGGCTGGAAAGTTTTCCACAGGAGTTTGTCATTTTCGGCAGCACAGGCTGCTTCACCTGCAGATTTGCATGCTGGGGCCTTACTGCGAGTGACTGATTGCAGATCCAGTTTTTCTGCCACAGGTATGCTCCTTCCATGAGGATGGAGCCGTTGATGAGATATGGAAAGACTAGGAAAAAGACACTTTTGCCGCGTGAGGCTGCAGCTTCGATCGGGTAGATTCGGCATTTTGTTTCAAGTTACGGCCCAAGGAAGTGATCTCCATGCAAAGTGCCATCGTATGGCCACAGCCGGCTGCAAAGAAAGGCGTCCCACAGCGTGGCTATTGTGTGCCAAGAGTCGCACGAGTCGCCCGAGTCACAGGCAAACTGCAGCCTTCTTCTGAGACACAACTAATCACCGCGGTTGCTACGGGGCTCCTACTACGTAGCAGGAGATCTTGCTTTAGAACTCAACGCTTTGCAAGCCAAGACTTGTTTTCAGCAGCTGCTCTGCATCAACCCTTGGGAGACCCTTCCGACGTGCAGGAATGGCTGCCTCGAGCGTTTGAGGCTGCAAACGGCACTTTCTTCCACGGCAAGCTGCAAGTCGAGAGCATCCGTGTGGATCCCTCCTGGCACCTACGAGGCGGAGCAGGTGGCACACACACTGCCAGCAAATGCATCGTCTTGGATCCCTCAGTGCACGGGAGTTACAGAGATCTTTGTGGAACATTGTTCCACGAAATGTTGCACCTGCAGATCAAGGATGCTGATGAGTGTGAACATGGTCCGATCTTTCTGCGGAGCTGCTTGGACTTGAACGAGGCCATTCGCAGCACCGGCCTGGCTTGCTTCTGCCGGCTTGGGGAATTCGACACTGCGTTGGATCGGAAGTTGTTTGAAGAAGCCGGGCTGCCAGCGTTTCTCTGTGATGGCCTAGCAAGCTCGGGGTCCCATTCCTGGGATGCAGGGCTTTTGGCCGGCGATCTCCGGGAAGCATCGGGGAATGCTGATGCCGATGGCTCCAAGCAGGCCTCGCAGTTGCAGCTTTTGGCGTCGGCACGTTCCTGCCGTAAGGCTCTCCAAGTGGGTTTCCCCTCCTGGGCCATGCGCAGCCGCACCATGAGCCAGTATTGTGCGGTGAGCTCAGGCAGAGACTATGCCGTGTTTGCGGACTACGAAGCCTTGTGGGCTTTGTGAGACTCGGCAGAGCGAGGTGTTGGAGTCCGAGCGCCTCTGATGGCATGGAGATGGGCCGCGCTGAGTTCTGAGCCATTTCTGGGGCTGCGCTTTGCGGCCTCGCAGACCAAGTCGTGCTTCAAACATCGAAGACCTCCAAATGAACACTGGAGGATGGCACCAACATGTTGCCCTGCCGGGCCTCCAGAAGCCAGCAATGCTGCGGTACAAATTAATCCGCCATTCCCTTTAGACAAGTTGCGCTGAATCGTGAAGCACTCGAGGTCGAGTTCGGGAAAGAATCGGTGGCTCACCACAGAGTTGTGGGGTGCCAGGTGCGTGGAGCTATTGCCTTTGCGAGCTGGCATGTCGATTTGCTGGATCCTGGCCGCGTCGATGTGTGGCTTCAGCCCCGTAGCCATTTTGGTGCCAGTGCGGACACTTTGATTGGCAGCTGGGGACAGAAGCCATGTCGCAGGCCGAAATGATATCTCATCGTGCAAGTCTCGCTCGTGTCAGTCTTACCCACTGTCAAAAGGTGCAAGCTCCGCCAGGTTTGGAGGCGCTTTGGACCATGCTTTTGACGCCTTGACCGCATTTCTGCTAGGCGGTGAGCTGCCATCATGCAGTCTGCTCAGGCGACCTGGCTGATTGCAACTCTGAGTTCGAGGTGTGTCTTTTAAATTGGGGACCCCAAGAAATAGTTTGTTTCCACCTGAACAGGGGTACCCTCAAAACAACACCAACACAAACACAAACACAAACACACACACACAACACAACACAACACAACACAACACAACACAACACAACACAACACAACACAACACAACACAACGCAACGCGCAACGCGCAACGCGCAACGCGCAACGCGCAACGCGCAACGCGCAACGCGCAACGCGCAACGCGCAACGCGCAACGCGCAACGCGCAACGCGCAACGCGCAACGCGCAACGCGCAACGCGCAACGCGCAACGCGCAACGCGCAACGCGCAACGCGCAACGCGCAACGCGCAACGCGCAACGCGCAACGCGCAACGCGCAACGCGCAACGCGCAACGCGCAACGCGCAACGCGCAACGCGCAACGCGCAACGCGCAACGCGCAACGCGCAACGCGCAACGCGCAACGCGCAACGCGCAACGCGCAACGCGCAACGCGCAACGCGCA